AATGGACTTTTGACTATAAAAGTCCATTTCCAATATAAAAAGATGTTTGGTGTAAACAACAAAATGGACTTTTAAAAAAGTAACTCCTACAAAAAGTCCATTTCAAAGAAATTTATATTGAAGACTTCTTGAGAAGTCACTTTTCAAAAAGTTCATCTTGAAATGGACTTATCAATAAGTGTTTCCAAACAAACCCTTAATCTAACAATTACAAACCTCGAAGGAATGGTTTATTAATGGGACCGTAATCTCTTCCTGAAGAATAATAAAGAATAATAATAATAATAATAATAATAATAATAATAATAATAATAATAATAATAATAATAATAAAACAAAAAATGCTGATGGTATGAGGATTTTTTGAATCTCTTTGAGAATGACTTTATGATGATAGAGACATCTAAAAGGTATTGAGAGATTAAAGAAGACAAAAGAGATTAAGGACAAAAGTGATCCAATCAAAAAAGGTGTGAAGCATATGTGTGTCAGTGTGTGTGTGTGTGTATATAACTAATATAAGACAAAAATGCCTCCATGTGGATGGCTCTTATAGAATCATCAATTTCACCTTTTAGAACATGGGCTTAGTCTTCACATAGGAATATTAATTTTAATCTTAGGAGTCCACTAAATGCCAAAATAGTCCTTAATATTGGCTTTTTGCCAATCTTATCTTATCACTCTCTCTCTCTCTTTCTTTTTATTTATAAAAATCTTAGACCAGCATTTAAATGACAATTACACAAGTAAAATATTATTATTAGTAATTTTTTATTTAATAACAGTTTTATAAGATTTTAAATTTTCTGAATATACAATATTAAATTATTTTACAACTAATATTCCTATTTTGTAATGTATTTACACAATAAAAAAAAAGATTTATATGAAAGTTAAACAATTTACATTTATATACAATAAAAAATTTAAAATGTAATACACAATTTATCTAATTCAAATTTTTAAATATCATATACGTACATATAATATGTAAATTTTTTGGAAAATACTATGGTGCCATTATAGAACCATTAAGTCGGGAATTTTAACCGTTGGATCACCATGTAGTTAGTAAAAGTTGGATGATCCCATGGTTAAAACTCCCGATGAAGTAATTCCGTAACGAAACAGTAGCATTTTCAGAATTTTTGTTTCACTTTGTGCATGTCCACAAGATCGAACACTTGTACTTTAAAAAAAAAATAAACACGAGCATATATATGTTGTTAGTGAATCGCCTTGTTATATTTTTCAAAAAGGCATATATATATATATATATATATATATGTATATGTTGTGAATGTTATATTTTTTATTTATATATATTTTTTTCAATTTACAATGTATAATAAATCAAAAAAATAGTTTAGTGTATTGCTATCCAATTGGCACGTGAACACATGATAAAAAGGAAGGAAAAGGCTGCACGATGACTTATAGGGCGCCCAAAAGTCCATGTGAAATAACGTTAAAAAATCTATTAATAAATCAATCACACATATATACCTATATTATCAATGCAATTTGCTTTTAAGAATCACCAGTTAACATTATTCGTTCACACTGTCCCGGAATGTCCAATTTATCAAGGGAAAATTACAATTTTAGTCCAGCGGTATTTTAACTTTTTTCGTCCTCTTCAAATTGTGTTTTTTATTTACGTCCCGTATGGTTTAAAAAATAGTTACAAAAAGGTCTTCTTCATAGATAAGAGCCGAAATGGAAACATTTTTTTGCAAAACATAAAAAATATTTTTTTGTTGTGAAAATGACCTTTTTGTAACATTTTCTTCAAACAAGCATGACGAAAATAAAAACAACAATTCAAAGAGTATGAAAAAAGAAGCAGTAAACATACAAGACTAAAATTGTAATTTACTCAATTTACCAATTTTGTTTCAAGGAGGACACAAATCATTATTTTCTTTCTTGAACTATTTGAAGCAGTCAAATAGTTGTTTTGTCTAACCTAGGGTTTTGTTTTGAAATTGGGCCTCAATCAAAAAACTTTAGATTTTGGAGGTTATCGTTGCCTATCGGGAGCACGGCCGACGACCCATTGGCCAACCCGTTTGGGCCGTTAAGCCCAAATCTCGAATCCACGGAACTTGACCCGATGCTTGTGTTAGTGGGAGGATGTGAGGTGATGAAGGACAGAATTGAAGACTACTACAAAAGATTGAAAGCCATGGGCAAAGACGTCGAGTACGTCGAGTATGAAGGGGAGGAACACGGGTTTTTCGGCAATCATCCTTTCTCTCAAGTGTCCACCAAAGTTATACAAGATATTACTCAATTTATGCATAAAAACTCCATCTAGACAAATATATATAATTTTCCTGTCTTTAAATGTTCTTTTTCAGTATTTCGAAGAATGAAATGTTGGGTTTAAGTTTGATGGTTAAAAGTAGTTGTTACCATGGGGTGTATTTAAAAGGGCTGAAAGTTTGTCTATCTTAAAC